TGTTTCTAGTGTATATTATACAATAATATTGTCTTTATTATTTTTTTTTTTTACCATCGCGTGTTTGCTCTTTTCACTACTCTTTTGTCGCAGTGTCGCGCGCTTTTACATCTGTTTCAGAAGAACTAGGAATAGCAATGTGTACCGACCATTATAAAACTTTCTCTTTAAACGAACGATCAAGTAAAAATATAATATTCCATCATACACTGCGCGCGCAGTAAAATGTATTTCCTTTGTGTTTTTTCTGTAATCTTTTCCTCCGTTTACAAAAGTGTATTACATCGTGCATGTGTAAAGTGTAAACAGAGTTCGCATCTCGAGTCTTACACACTCGATTGATTTTGTTCCAAATATAATTCTTATATATTGTAATGGGGGGGAAAAAAAAGTTAGGAATATAAGAATGTGACGCCGTTGTAATATTGTACGCTCGCGGCTCACTGCACTGTACATATGTATGGTATACATATAATATGGTACGCCGATCAAAGAGTAAAAGGACTTCTGTCAAATAAGTAATGTAAATACGAATTTACAAAAGGTGTACAATATATTTTATATTTTAAAACAAATTTCGTTGCTATATTGACTTTATCGGAGCTTCTACCGTTAATACAATGTACCTATATTATAATATTATGTAGAATATATCTGTTCGAGTTCGTGTCTGAGGGATTTTTATGTAAATATAATAATCATTTTATTATTTTTGCCTATAACTTTAAACGCTTTGGCGGACAGGCACTATCCGACGGTGAGATATATAGCGGTAATATTCGGTGGAACGGGCATGAACCAATTGCGCCTAAAACAAAGTTTTAGTTTAGGGTCAGTGTACCAATTGCGCTAGTATTTGAATTTTCTTATCTTCAGATAGGAAAATATTGTCGTTCAATCTAATTCCATCAACATCGATATAAACAATCTACACACAAAAATGCTTAAAAATTAAAAACTTTTTTATCGATCAATTGATTACTGGTTTAAGTGACTGGTTATAACATATTTTATGACAGTATCGGGAATTTTATAAAACATTATCATTATTACGCACATTTGATCGTTCAAGTATGAATTTGAGTGATAAACTTAAATATTTTTGTTTAGTACCTATCAGTTTGAATTGTAAAAAAGTTTAAATGTGAATTATTATGTATCTGACATAACTTTAATTTTGAACAATTGACTATATTTATTTTTTTATATCATATCATGTATTAAATATTAATACTCGCAAAAAAATTGACGTGTGTATTCATTTATTATATAATTATAAATTATAACTAACTAATAACATTTCATTAAGTATTTTTAAATGTTTTGAGCGCAATTTATCTATCGACCCTAAAATGTATAGAGCGCGTCTATTGATCCTAAAATATTTAGAGAGTAATTGGTATATAAAATAGTAATTTTAAGCGCAATTGGTAAACTCTCAGTGGAACACGTTGATATACGAGCGTATTATATACGTAGATAAAGACTAACTGACAGACAGACAGGTATACAAGACAGACAGACAGGCAGACAGTCGTAACATAAATAATAATCTGTTATTATACCGAAATGGTTATTTATGATATAATCTATGTATTGCTGTTTGTTTTGTAGCAGATATTGTTGAACCAAACAATGTGGGGTGGTTTCGCGTTATGATTAAACGTCATCGCTACTTATAGTCGGAACTGTAGTAAAAAACACATAAATGCGCTTATCATCATCAAATGTCACAATATCATAATATAAATTCAAGCTTTTGCATAACACTTGTTTCGGGTATAAATAATAAAACGTTTTCATTCGTAGGTCAAAATTTTATAACATAATTGTTTACATTTTTTTGTTGTTTTTCCAAAAATTATGTTAAATGAGTGTTTGTTTTTTATTTTTATCATATTAACTTTACCAATTGTTTTTTTGATATTTTCTTCATCCGTATAGATATAACGGATCTGTGCGCAGATGATAGAGACATGTATCTAACAGGTTAAAATTTGCGTTTAATTAACACCCATTATAATATACATGTTATGATTTTACGTAATTTTATTGTATCTATCTAAAAAATATTCTGTTAGGTTTCTATCTGTCTAGGAAAGTTGAAGAAAGTTTATTTGAAATTATAGACCACATGTTATGAGATAATATAAAAGTAAAGAAATGATTAGTAGCACTAGATTTTAGTATAGTGTAGTGTGAAATTAGGAAACCCTCTAAAACACAGATATTATTAAATGATAATGTTATAAAAACTTTAACGTTAGAAGTTAATAAAAAAAAAAATGTAATAACAACTTTAATGATTGATTAATTTACATATGTATTCAAAACAATAAAATAGTATAATTAAAAATAAACTTTTTGACCTTTCGTTTGGTTATAAAAATAATTTCTATGTTAATCAATAGCGTGATAAAATTACCGAGCTTTCCTTCCACTCAACTATTGTAACTATGTATTTTGTAAACGTCAAGTAGCTAGTGGTATTAGCAATAATAGTTAATCATTAATAAGTTTTATAAAAATAAGCTTCGAGTAAATTTGAATATATTATCACAAAACAAAATATCAAAATGTATATCTATAATATAAATATAATAAATATTATATCAAAAAATGTAGATATTTTTTTGATATGGCTAAAATAAGGTATTATAAATGTTAATGATATTTGTTTGTTTTTGGAATTTCGATTATTATAGATAATAATAATAAAAAAAAAAAAAATGGTTTAAACATAAACTGTATAATTTAGTTTTAAATAACATTATGAAATATTAACGTTATCTTTTTTACATAACAAATAATGCTTAAAACAACCTTTTTAAAATTCGTATCACGAACACGGTTCTAACGTTTAAGATATATGTATATGGTCTATATTTGAGTATAGATTATAGACTTACTATATAATATATAAGCCCTGTTTATGCATAATTTCACTGTAATTAAATAAAATGTTTATTTACAATTATAATTTCTCACACATGAATACATGATATCAATTTTGGTCTTACATTGACTATACGCGCGGTCGTACATAATATGTATAGGTATATTTTTTATTTCGCTGATTCACGCAATATCTTCTTTCGCATTTATTAATTTGCATGTTGTAATAAACCCTTAGGAAATATTTACACACCGGATTAATGTACTATTTTTTTATTACACTGTTTTATAGCTTATACATCAATTTTTTACTGATATATATATATATATATATATATATATTACACTCATTTTGCGTTCGATTTAAACAGTTATACAGATAGGTACAGCCGGTACAGACCTGTAAACTATTTTTGTATAAAATAATATTATTACATAACCACCCGAAGAGACGTGATATGATGAAGCTCTACTCCATCCGCACATATTAAATAATAAAATTAGTTATTGTGCTCTACAGAATCGATACAATAACATAATAACCAGTGGCAAAACCAGAATTTATAAATGGGTGGGGATACCCAAAATCTCCTACGGCTATTTTATTGATCATAAATTCATAACTTCACTGATCGATAAGTAATAGTCAGTTTGTTTATGGCATTAAAATTTTAATACATTGTAGGTTTATTTTTTATTTCATTATTATTCTATTAATTAAATTATTTTATTCGATTTTCTTACTTGTCGTTGTTCATGGACACGCGTATTGTAAAATTGATGAAATTTAATGGACATTTAGTGGACATGAAATGTAATGTGGTCTGGGTATAATAAAATTAATAACTATTGGACCTGCAGGGGTTCTTATTTTAAAATATAATTTATACAGGTATTGTTGGCTAATCATTATTATACAAAAACCAGTAAACGACTAAATCGTTGTTGGAATAGGTAGCGTATGATATAATTTTGAGTATTTCCTAATACACACTGACTTTGATATGTCACTACAATAAACGGAGAAACGATTACCTAACTAAGTTTCGGCTGTTCAAATTTTAACATTCCAATCGATCGTGTGCATTACATTATTCTAATTAAAAACGCGTATTGAACCTCACAAAAATAAGCAATGGTTTTGTATAATGACAATTTATGTGTATTTATAATCTTCTTCGACAAATCAAAAATACTGCGGTAACAATAAAATTTAATTACTTAAAACAAAATATTATACAATAAATTATATTTTAAGAATGATTCTTTTATAAAAACATACACTAGCTAGTGGCTTATCTATAAATTTAAATCAAAATTTTTTTTTTTTTTAATTGAAGACACGATGATGTAAATTTAATATTTCATATTGACTTTGAATAAATAAATTGACCTTTATCCCCTTGTCTTAATAAAATTAATGACCGCAATAACAACTTTTGATTTTTAAACTCCAGCCTAAATTTTAATTTCATTACGAAAAGCAAGAATATTATACTTGTCTATAATTGTGTAAATTCGAAATGTGTACTTGTATATTAATTGCAGAATACAGTTTTATTTTTGATTATAGCTAAGCATTTATAGTTTAGGTGTGCTGAGTAGTGGGCCATAATTTTCAGGCCACTTTACTCACCTTTAAAGTTTAAATGCTTTTAATGTTTCAAATACATTTAATACTATTTATTTTTATAAAAGTTTTATAAGTTATAAATAAATAAAAATTTTCATACCCAATTCGATACATAAACATATATTTTCATATCTATTTATAAATAAACTTTAATAATATATTCTGCTTCGGGTGATGAAACCCAAATTATAAATCATTGTTAAAAAATCAAAAGTTTATAATGTGTTCAGTATTCTGTGAGGGTGAAAATAATCATCAGGCACCTAATAAAAAACGTTAGAATGTTGCATAACGCGTCTTTTTCCAACAGGTTAGGTTGTCAACCAGCAGTGTATATTATGAATTATAATGTAGTTTACATTACAATATATATATATTATACATATTTGAGTATACCTATCTTTACTATAATTTCAAAAATATACAATATTAAATATTATTATGATTATTATTAGGTATAATCGGTGTCATATGTATACAATACGTTAAGTACATAAAAAAAACACGTATCATATAAAATACAATTACAAAATGTACTCGTCAAAAAAACGATCTTAATACGTTGATATAAATACAGGTTGGTACATAGGTATACTATTTTTCGGGTGAAATATCGACGAGTACGCCATAATTAAAATGCTATATCATAAATTATGATTCATAATATATTACAGGCACCCGTTGCCCCAGCACCCACACCAAGGCACTTTTTCTGTACCCTCGCGACCGGTGATGCTCAGCTTTCTCCGGCAAATCGTACTCGTGTCGCTGTCCGCGTCCTCACCCCCATCCATCCGGGATAGGGACCCACCACGATGCTTGATTATGGTGTCTCGCCGGAAACCCATTAGAGATGTTCTCCGCCGACCCCTGAGCGGCGATTCGGACGTGCCCGACGCAGCCGTCGGTGGACCACCGTCACGATCGTTTATCGGTACTACTTTCGATTTCTTTGGCGACCCAGCCGACTTGGAGTTAGTTGACGACGACGTCGTCACTGTCGCTGTCCCTGCCGTAGTTGCAGTCTTGGGTTCCGTTACCGGTTGATTGGCAATGGCTGCAGTTTTTGGATCCGACAACGGGAATCTATGTATAAAATATTAATTAATGCGCATTTTGAATGATGTGTATAATTACCATAAGTATTTCAGTATAATTATAGTGATTATTTAATTCCACAAGTACGAGAATAAACAAACAGGTAAGCGTCTAAATGTATTTATTGTTTGTAGATTTGAAATTTGATTAATACAACTTAGTACCTAGATATTGTAATTTAATAACACTGTATAGTTATCGTTTGTGCGGCGTTAGATGTTGTAGAAATGGTTAATAATATAATCATCAATATACTATTATGATATATAAGATTTAAATTAAATTTCATATATTAAATCATTTAATAGAAGATCGGATAATAATATATAATGAAATAGGTTTTTGGTTGGATTTTTTAAAAGTAACTACTATTGCATTTAACAAATATATATTCTTATTTAATATACATGAGTATAAAAATGTTTTAAATGAATAACATTGCATCATTTGTACCTATAGTTTATGGAATTAATTTATTTTTTAATTCAGAAAAAAACACGGTATTGAGGATAAATGTTTAAAAGATTTTATTTTTTATTACCATAATATGATAATAATGATATATAGAATTGTTAATATTAAAAACTTATGTTGTGAATAATATAAATAATATATATTTTACTAAATGAGTTATTATTTTTATTTATAGCCTTGTAAGCTTTGTAAGTTTAAATAAGAGATACTAAGTAGCAAATAGTACTTCGTGAAATGTATGGTCTGTATTACTTATCTTAATTGGATTTTATATTTACTTATAAATTAAAATATTACTAAACTTGGAATTGTAATGGTAAAAATACATAACTGATAAGTTCATACTTGATAAACGGGGAATCCATTATATCAATGTATAAATTTAACGTAACACTAATTATTTAAAAAAAAGTGTTGAAAATGATAACGATGAAAATCGTAAAAATCGTAGTTTTAAGATGATGCAAAAAAATAATTCAAAAACGTTAAATACATTATTTGGTTTCTATAAACGAAGAATATAAATTAATCAACATTCAACATTTTTGAAAAAATATTTTGTTTCAGATTATGAAATTAAAAGCTCACTATTATAAATATGCAAAAATTGATGTTTTCACTACTACATGGCAAAAACAAAGAAGGACTGTAATGGCATTACAGTGTAATGTACTGTAAGGTGTTAGTTTTTTCGGATTCTTTATTTAGCCGTCTTTTCTTACTTTTTCCCTCTCTTATTTTCACTCTATGTTGTAATGTTTTAATAATAAAAAACAGGATTGCGTATAGGATAAGTTTTATCTATATTCGCCTATTATTAGCCTCTAATATGCTCTAACGGTGTATAATCTGTATCGTGTTATATCTTAACTTTTTCCAAAAAAATAAAACTACAGTTTTTCAAATAATGGACGATCGCTGTTCAACAAACAATAATCGTCCATCGAAATGTATAGGACGATAATATTATGTCGTACAAAATATTATAGTTAATAATATTATAATGTACTTGAATCCATTTCGAACGGATACCGCGGTCGTCGCGGTTGCAGTGTAGGGTCCGACGTCGACGCCGTCGCCACTGCCGCGGCAGGGCTCATCACCGACTTCGCCACCGCCGCCGCCGCTGCCGCTTTCGTCGTCGCAACCGTGGTCACCGGACGACGCCGTTGAGTCGGCCATTTTCAAGTTTAACTTTATCTGAGATCTGAACGACTTTCGCCGGGCGATGCTGTTCATCGTGCCCGTCTCGTGTTCGGTCAGCTGCCTGACGATGACTTTGTCCGACCCGAACCACAAGTACCTGGGCGCACCGAGCGTCGGACGGACGCGCACGTAACGCTCGCCGCCGGCCGTCCCACACCTGGCAGTCTTCCTCTCCACTCCACCTGTTGCGCGAATAATACATTAATAGGCACATATTATCGTAAGCCAACGAGTTATTTATAAAACGCCGACAAAAGCGTTATAATAATATTATTACATGTTTATACATATTATACATATATATATATATATATATATATATGTGTGTGTGTGTGTAATACAGTAATTCACTATGCATGCTAACGTCCCCCGCCCATCTCATTTTTTCCATTAAAAATTAATTTATTCAAAATCTGATTTTGGAAATTATAAGTATACTTTAAACTGTAAAGACAACTTATTCAAAATTCTTAAGATTTTTAAGACTACTTGAGCGAGTGCCCTTTAGCTATACAAACTTTTGTTTTTTAAATAAAAACCCCTTATTTACATTGAATAATTTAGTGAATTATTTTTTATTTTTTTTTTTATGTTGATGTACCTAGTAAAAATTCAAACGAGTAATTTCTCAGTTATTAAAAGATAATAGTTCTTAAAAATGGTTTAATAAAATTATAAATATATATAAAATATATGTAATATTAGAATATTAGTGTTTATTATACTTTGAATATTTTTTAAAATATAGTTGTTAATAGATTGAATATTATTGGCAAATATTTTCAGGTTACTATAGCCCTCATATTTTTCAAAACTACTCATGATCTATGGACTTATTATCCTTAGTACACACTACACGATGGTATATAATTCAAAAATTACTCGTTTGAATTTTGATTTTTAACACCAACATTTTTGACAACTAATTTACAGCAGAAAGGAGGGTGCTCACTTTATAAAAATAAGTTTATATCCCACAAAATAATCCTTATAAGTAGCAAGAAAAAATATTAAGAATTTAAAAATATGGTTTTTAAGTATACTTAAAATTCCTGCTAAATTCATATTTTATAATAATTGTATTATTGAAAAAAAAGGGGAGTAAGCATGTTTGATAAATCACTCTGTATATATTGTATATGTATACATATAAATATATTAGTCTGTATTACATTTACACATATAGTGTATATCGTTCTATGTCAACTGTTAACTGAATACTTTTGGAGTTTTAGGTAATATTATTTATTTTTTAAATACGTTATTAGAATTCATAAAACAATTTCTATCACGGCGAGTACAACATCGCTTCAGTAGATATTATTTTCTTGAATTATAGTTGAAGATTAAAATATTGCGTAGGATTTTATCTTTGGGATTTGAATTTAAATCAAATACAATTTTATGAGTTTTTAAGTGGGTTTAATAACCGTTGTTTTATGAAGCTAATTGTCGTTTCTTGGAGCTATAGAATAATATTTATATTTTAAAATAACACACCAAAGAAATTTTAATTAAAAAAAGAAAAAAATGTTCCTAGGGAGTAATAATTAATGTGGAATAAGACATTTTTTTTTATTAAATCATATAAATGTGTTTACTGTTTAATATAAATTATAATTTGTCATATTCAAAAAATGTGATTTTACAATTTTTAACTGACACAGGTACAAAATACAAAATATTTCACAAATGATGAAAAAATAAAAATCGAGAATAAATTTGTATTTATATGTATGTATAATTTATGATTTAATGTGTAAAATAGTTAGATATAGTTTTTAAATTAATATGATTTTTGATTTTATATTTTTATTTTTGGATCATATAAATAAACTTGATGGTCTTGAAGTACTTAATGATTGTGGCTGATTTAGATGGATACCACATCATTCTCATCATTATGCCATTAAAATAATGATAGTAAGGTAAAATCGACATTAGATATAACCTTTAGGAAGTATCTTGTAGTAATATAAGTCAAGACACGAGAAAATAATGCAAATAGTTTGTATATATTAAATACTGAACTTAGTTCAAAGAATTATTTCCACCGCTGTTTTCAACTCAGCGGCCAACTATGTAATACACATGTCCCTTTTATTTCAATCATCGATAACTTAAATAATATATATGAAACGAAACTGTTGGACGATATTTGACACAAAATAGTTTTAGTGCGTTAACAAACTTATAAATAGATATGTAGCAGGTTTATCGTTCAATACGAATTATAACAGAATGCCGAAAAGGGAGATACGTATATAGGCTAAACACGTACAAGAAAATCAGTCGAACGAATTATAAATAATTGCGTTAAACTTAATACATCATATATTACAGTATGTTATGTCCGTTTCATGCGGAAGTTTGGAAGTTTGTCGATACAAAACAAAAACAACTTTTTTTATCGCTTACGTACTTTTTGTTGCCAAACGTAAATAATAAAATGCGTTTAGCATTATTATTAAACGTATACTACAATAATATGCTGGTTACAGCTAAAAAGCGTAACTCTAAAAATGACGATAGTGATAATATTGCTGTAGCTAAAATTCTTGTCATATTCCAAGTTGTTTTATTACTTCTAAAGGCGGCATTATTTAACTACGCAATGCTCGTTCAACTGACAATTAATATACGTATGTACATAGGCAATAATAGCGGCACTTGAAGTTTTAACTTTTTGAGAGTTGACGCGATATTATCTAAAAGGGGACATCATTTTAGAAATTAATTATATAAATGGTGCTATAAGAAGTCACCGAAAGTTTAAAGCGACTTCAGTTGTATACGAGTTGCAGGGAGAGAGTAAATTCTACAATGTTGATGTGTTATGTCTGTCTGCAGAAACTCGATCACTTTAAAGGGTAAGTTAGATATAGTCGATATAGACTATACTTATATAATATATTGCTATGATATCATAATAATTAATCAATTTATCTCAATCGTAGGTCACTGAGCCGCTCATAAAATATATTATGGCTGTATTATTGTTATTATTTTTGGCTAATTCTCTTTACCGATGATCGTGCCATATTTCTTGAGACATTTCAGTACGTCTTTGTCGGTCACATTATCTGGCACGCCCGTCAGCGACAGGATTACTGCACCCGCGCCCGTGTCCATCAAAAGCACTGGCACGTCACGGACTCCGAACGACGTGTGCAGCGCTCGTTCCAAGCACTCGGCGTTGGCGAACGTCATGTAACATCTGTCGTCCGTCAAGCACACCGTTCGCAACTTGTCCCTGAGTTCGGCATCCTGTATGGCGTCGATCACTTCGTCCACCTGTGTATATTGTACATAAAATAAAATAATATAACATTATGATATCTGAAGCAGGGACGCAATTCCGACCCCCTCTCGTGTAAGTATGACTTTAAACTTCGCCGACCTCGCGCAAACTTTTCTCTAGTCTGTCACGAATAACTTATTTTTTTTTCTCATTGGCGCGTTATGTAATCTTTTAAGTAACAAAAATATTGTTTACGTCGTCGTAAACATCGTAAAGGTATAAGTATAAATACATAGTTGAGAAAAATAAATGATGCAAATGCGTGTATACTATATATCTATAATAGTTATAATTTAAGTATTTCAAAATTGTTCTAGTGGTCGCTTGAAATAACACGAATAATAATATTGTAAATGTTGTTTTCATTATCTACCATTACAAATGTTTAATGACTTAAAATAGTATAAAAATTGCCATAACTATGTTATCTACTCGTAGATACTTTGTTAAATTTTATTGTATAAAAATAAAGTATTAATTTTTATTTTGTTTTCTATTGGCTATTAGGTAAAGGTATGGCCTGATTTATGACCATCTACAGCAGTATATCGTATAATATGCATGTAGCCAAGGTTTAGGTTAGCTGTTGGTTGCAAGTTCAAAAATAGGTATCAGACTTCTTGATGTATGATGATTTGGTTTGAACCTATCTTGTTTACAAATTGCAGAATAAAATACAGTAAAAGATTATCACTTAAAAAACAACAGTATACAAAATTTAAGTACTATTCCAAAATAAGAAGGGTATTTAAATCTACTTAAAAATTTAAAAAAAAAAAAAAAAAACGGAATTCAAATAAATGCGTAAGTATTTATTATACCTAATACTTAACACCTCTTAAAAGTTTAGAGTTTAAATAAACTATGTTAATATTATTATTCAATACCAAAAATCATTTAAAAAAATTAACCAATAATTTTAATCAGGACTTAAAATGCATACACGTACAAAACAATTAAATTAATATTATTATACCATGATATATGTGGAATGCAGTCGCACGCAATATCTTCGAGTTTATAATATAAGTCATATTATAGACGCGTGAAATTATTATATTATTATACAGACGACGATCGGTTCAAGCATTAGTTTTCATTTTCCGCATTAGCATTTATAATAATATATTATAAATAAATATTGACTTTAAGTTTGACGAAGTATTTGTTTCCAAGTTGTTTTTATATTTTATGACGTACGCGTAGATATTTAAACCATGATAACAAACACATACAATGTGTGCACTTTCATACAAATATAATTAATAGATACGACTTAAGACGTAGATGTTTATATTATGATGATAATTAATAATGCCTGTGCAACACTCGAATATGCTAAAACCAATATTTTCCAATGATTTTTTTTATTTAATCAAATTCGCTAGCGGTTTTATTTAAATTTTTAAGTTCTCACTGATCAGTGTTATTGGTGTAGTTTAACTACGTGGAAAGTCGTGTACAACTTGTGTACATGGGGGGGAGGTGGATTTTTCAATCTGAATAAAATATAATAAAATACATTACCAGTTACTACCGTCGCTATATGGTAGAATTTCTGTATAATTTAATATACTTTATATAAATATTTTAAATATAAAATATATTGTGTAGTATCATAATCGTTGCATAATTTTTGATAGTTGATTTGTTATTATTTTATTTTTTTTTTTATACATTTATACGTGTTAACGCGCTACATTTATGCGTTTGATATACCTATGTATTTAACATGAGTCGAATAAGTAACCTAATTTTAAAATTAACTAAATAAAAACCTACTAAATATTATATATATCTAAAAAAAATAATGAAAAGGAATTCGTATTTTTGAAATATTTAGATTACTGTATTAAATATTTAAATGTTAGCTATTTAAGTTTGAAATGTTATCATTTTTTAACTACAAAGTATAATTTTTGTGATCTTGTCAACTAAAAAAAAAGAATAATTACATTTTAAGTGTAATTTTTTAATGAGGATGCATTTTTCTATAAAACAGATGGTGCGATGAAAAATTAAAATGAAACATAATGGTTATAAAGTTAACGAATTTGATTCAATGTTATTTTAGATAAAAACAATATGAAACGGTTTATCGAGTAACTATATTTTCTTTATTGAAAATCTTTTGTTTAATCATTTAAATAATAAAAAAAGTTATCTCAAGTTTTTTTTAGCCGTATTTACAGAGCAAAAACAATAGTAATCGGTACGAAAAAATATTTTTTTTCTATATTAAGTAAACGAAGGGCGAACAATAAATTAACCCGGGAGAGGTTTCGTTGGTCACTATGACCGAAGTTATTTTTATATTGAATATTATTAAATGGTGGATAACTCAATATCTTGGTAATTCCCCATACCTCTCATACACATATACAATAACAGTTTTACGTCATTTTAGATAAATTTAATATTTATTTTTTTATTTGTACTTTTGAAAGAATAAATATGTATCTTTCTTAATTTATTTTGATACCTACGTGTTATTTATTTAGAGAATAATAACCTCACACCCAAATAAGTAAGTAAAGAAATTTTTCAGCATTATAAAATGAACTTCTAATAAGTCGGTCAAAAAGACCAACGACACCTCTCTTTACATTTTTTAATACGTCACCTCTCTCGGGTTAAATACGAATAAACTGTGTTACGATAAGTAAGCTTATCGTATATTTATATAATATACACACATAGACACACACACACACACATACATGTATATATTATATATATATATACACATACCTAAATATTATTTATCATATATAATATGTATTATATTATGTTTCATGTAGTCTCAATTTTCAATATATGTAGTTATTAAAAAAAGATTACCTATATTTATTGTTCTAAGTTCAAATTGTTTTTTTGATAATTGTTAATATTAAACCTATATTTAATTGATCAGTTAATTGCCGCAGATGTTTGCACTTCAATTTTAAACGTTTAGTGAACAATCATTTTTGTTTATTATAAACAAATAATTAATATTCATCATAGGCCATGGATAAAATTGACATTTAATTGCAATGCTGTTCACAATAAAAAAAATACAATTTTTAAATAAGCTATTAATTTTATTAATAATTAATAGAATATGCAAAAGCATGTTGATGAAGCTACTAAGTTTTAAATCAATCTACTATTGTTATCTCCAATCTGTATTTAATATATTTTATAATTTGTTATTATCAAGACAATTTTAAGACTCTATCTCTAATCGTAAATTAAAAAAAAATAATATTATACAACATTCAAACCAACCATAAATTGTCTGATAATACTTAAATTTAAACTTCGCTGAAAATTTTTTTGTAATTGAAATGAATAATATCTAGTGAAATAAAATCTATAATAAGTAATACTAACTAGATAGTCAAATAAAATATATTTGTTATGGACGTATTTATGTTCATAATTGTTAATAATTTTGCTCAATAATAATAACAACGCGAGAGAAATAATAAGATTATATAATTTTAAAATTATTCATGTAAATACAATAATCTAAGTTGTATAATACATAAAATAGAAAAAAACAAGTAATACGTATTTAAAAAAATAAAATATTATACTTAACATAGTTAAATTTCTTATTTTTATACGTGCATTACTTATAAGATTGATAATATAAATTAAATATTACTTGCATGTGTCATGTGTACCTATTGCTATTGATTACAACATTATGTCTATTTTTGGTAAAATCAAAGTTGTTTTGTCTTTAGTACTTGTGAGTTGTGATTATAGAAATAATTATAAGTTCAGTTAGTCTATTATATATTAGATCATATAATTTATTAAATAGTAAATTATAATCTATGACACTAACGAAAAACGAGTGTCGATACTCATCGCCACAATTACATTTTAAATTAATAAATAGTATAAAGCTAATTTTTTTACAAATAACAACAAACGAAATTAACTAAAGATTTTCAAATAAAAATAAATTATTTTTCTCATGCTAATTATTATTACGTTAAATTTAATATTTATAACACATTAATTACTTATATAGTTATATCACATGTCCATAGTAACTAGTACTTAAGTATTTATTTTAATATTTTTGAGAATGTATTTCCATTTAGTATTATGAAGTTAATAATCTCTATAAAATAATTAACGGTAAACGTCTGTCGGTTTTAATATTTTTTCATATAATTTAAACTTTATCTTTTTTAAACTCAAACATCTCAAACATATATATATTTATATATTGTCTATATTTTTAACTTGAACTTATAGGTTTTGAGTTAATCGAGGACAGTCGATGATAAGTTTTAGTGTTTTAAAATGATTCTGTGTTTTTTTTTCCGGTAACTGAACAGTTTTTAATAGACTATCAAAACTTTAAAAAGTTTTTTGCAGCTCTATTACAAATTGAGAATTGAACACAGATTGTGCTTTTTATATAATAGTGGTAACTTTACAAATTTAATCCTAAGAAAATTGGTATAGATATAGCAGCAAGAAACCGTATCTAAAAAAACATTGGCTATACTTTGAGTAAATCTAAATTTAATATTGTTAAGTAATTTTTTGCACGTAGGTTTCTATCTTCTTTCATTATTTTAACATTTAAAAACAATCGTACTTAGGGTTATAATTTATAGTGGTGTTAAATGACCCGTTTTTTCATCACATCAATTGTCATATCTTACAATTTTTTTTTTTTTTTTTTAGATTGGACATCGGTTTGTCAAAAGTGCAATTTCAGTGTCTAAAATGTAATATTGATTTCTCAATTAGTATAATAAAATAATAGGGAATAAGAAAATATATTTACTGACGGCTGTTTATGCAATTTCATTAATATAAAATATATACACTTATAGGGAGGATTCTGGACGAGTATAAAATATAACTTAATGGCTACTTTGTTGTTACACTATAAATATGCAGAAGAAAATATTAACAGTTTATATAAAATTAATATATTTTTATATAAATAAATAATTATTTAATTAACGAATATTATTTTGTAATATTATTTGTATAAGTCAATAAATAAAGTGAATTAAATTGTTATCTCATTTTATACTTTCATTAAAAATAAAATTTCTATAAAAATAAGCAAGCACTTTATAAAAAGTACATCGTAATTTTCTTTCAATTTAAGATAAAAAAAAAAGCACTATTCCAATAAAATTTATTTCGTATAATAATAGATCTTAAAATTACCTATAATTTATTAAAATAGTTTCAGTTTTATAGTTGCATGATATTACACATGAATGTACTTATTTTGTCTGTGTCGACTGATTTATTTAATACAGAAAAAATATTTCATAAAATCGTAATGTTTTTACAATTTAAATGTTTTTTAAATGCTTAAAAATTATAAATATTACGTTATTTTAATAAATAATATTATGATAAAAAAATGAATATTACATCTACAATAGAGTTATTGACTCATTGAAACAATTATATTATACAATGTATAAGTATTTTCTTTAATACGACTTTAATTTATTCATGGATTCCCTTGTTTGATGTAGTAATAATAAATATTAGTTTTTAATAATGTTATTAAGTGATAGCTGATACCATATAAATAAATAGTATCTAATATTTTAAAAGTTAATTTGTCTTTTTGAATTGCAGATTGAAAGTAATGAATAGGCATAATATTTTAAGTATATATATTATATACCCACGCAGTAAATGAGTCTTCTAACTTTAAAGATTGTAATTTATTCAATACCCAAGTAGCGTCCTATTATAAATTCTACGATAAAATAAAAATAATAAAAATATGCATTTATTTTATAACATTGTGAACGAACTTGTTATAAAATAATATTTAGTAAGTTGGCTATTTGTTATCGCTCCACCACCAGGCGTACGTTGTTCTCGGACATTTTTTATCTACCATAACTAAACTTATCAAATAAATAATAATAATAATATGCTGATTATTATTAATTGCAGTATACTTGATAATTAATATTTCATAATTAAACTTGAATAAACACAAAAAATAAGACAATCTTCATGGTCCTTTAATCTTAATTACTTTTACATTGTCACGTTTTTAATTTGTTTTATCAATATGTCTTTGTTGTATGATTTGAATTTCTTTAAATATTACTTTGAATAAATTAGTATGATAGAATTAATATTTAAAGATATTTTTTGGAAGCTTGTAAGTTTGTAAGATAGGTTGGTATGTCTTGAACACAATAGCGATAAATCGACCTCGCACTAACATCAAAATAGTATAATAAAATACAATTAAACGTTTTAACTTAGAAGTATTTACCTCATAACTCTAAATATTTCACGTATTCAACTTACCTAGATATTAGATATTCAGATATTCAGATAAAAAAGAATTTCTATAATAAATTTTGAATTTTTAGATTAAAGTTTGCCTGCGAACTCTTTTGTATTAGACTAATAAATTGTAGGTGTATGCGATTTGATAGAGAAAAATTATTACGAACAAGTACCTACTTAGCGTCTACGTATATGTTACAAAAAATACAAAAATTTAAATAGTTTTTGCTAAAATCTATATAAATATATAATCATGTATGTAAAAGTTGATTCCTTATTTAAATTAGTATATGTTTCTGAAGAACAAAAAACTGTATACGTTCAGACGCAAAGTATTGGGACTCTGTATTATATGTTTTACGGTTTTGTTTTATTTTTTCATATCTCTTACTAATCCTTGTTACAACTTACTTTATAAATTATGTACTGTGGCTACATGCACTTGGTTTAATAATAATTACAAACTGTGTGTAGGTTCGGGCACCATATTACGAAAATGGAAGAACAAACACACGACGATGCGTACATATTTTTCAGTAAACAATTTTAGTTGCTCTGTGTTAGACATAACTTAATACTTATATTAAAATATTATTGTAATAATGCTCGTTCGTGGGTCGACTCGCGATATTTTATACGGAACACATAACAATAACCACGATAAAAAGTGTACGGGACAGTAACCGACGAACCGCCGTCGCATGCATTATTTATTTAACCCTCGTATACAATACATTACACATACATAACACGATCATATATATATATATACGTATACAGCTGAAAAGACATCCGAAAAAAATCGGTTCACTGAGAGTGCAAAATGTATCTAAATTTTACTTCCAAAGGGCTAAGGCCAAGGTAATTATCAATATCATCGCAAAAATAATATTTTTAATGTTTGAACAGTATCAATAACTCAATTAATTTTTTTTTGATAATATTATGTATTATATTATCTTTATTCAAAATTAATTTAATTAAATCTAAATGTTTAGAATGGAGCTTTTCTATGGAATAGTTGTTATATAATACAATATGTTTACCCTCTACTCCATTACAAGTTCAGGAGTAGATATATTCTTTATAAACGCGTTTATATTTTATCCCAACACCGAAAGTGTACAGTCATAAAATCGTTTTTGTTTTTAGTTTTCCCCAGACGGTATTTTCTGGACTGTTTGTACAGCGTATATTTTGTACGAAACGCGCGTCGCGATGTATAAAAACAGGCTGTAACGAGTATATTGAGTCGTAAACGCTCGAGGCCGGAAACACAGACGTCTGTTTCGGGTACAGAACTACAGATTACTAAAAAACGAGCGTAAGTCTAATAAAAACACATCGACTGATACAAAAAAAAAAAAAAAAAATCGACGAATTTAGACTGCCGAAACACGTACGTCAAAATAAACCCGTAGAATTATTACTATAATTAATTGTATAAACTCAATTACAAATATTTATACATACATACGCGGTGGTGCCTCTGTATATTTACGGTATGGTATGTGGACTTGGAGAGTGATGAAGGAAATTTCTGCAAGGACATTATTTTTTTGAAGTCTATTTTACAGATGCAGTCTCAGTTATAACTTGTTACGGTTTACTCTGATGTATAATAATTGATGCGTTTCACAAAAATGTTTTCCATGTTTTGGGTTTCTAAATATGAGTTTAGAACACTACCACCTTTTATCCCCACTGTATCCGTCCGTTCGTTAGTAATCAGTAAATATTTTTAATGAAGTTGATAACAAGGTATTAAATAATTAGTCCGTTTTTTTGATATTAATAAGTGACTAGTCTTACTTACCGTTTTGTCAATATTAACTATTTTCTTGTTCATTTAATAGGGTTATAGGTTGAATTTGAAAAAGTTATTTCCATTTTAATATCAGTACCCATTCATATTCATAACTCGAATAAAAAAAAACTAGTAATAAATTTAACTTAATTTGTGTTAATATAAATAATTTTATGACGGTTCTGTTCAAAGTTTATTCATATTTTATAGCTATTATTAATAATATTTTTCTATACTACCTATCTAATATTAAAAAATAGGTATCAAAATATTATAAATATTACCAAATTTTTTAAATACTGGTACATGGAATTAAAATTTTTTTACATTGCATTAAAGTATATTCAGAAACTGAGAATTTAGCATGCTCACTGAGTAAGCGTCTCTAACTTATTTTATTTCAAAAAATATAGTATAATATTTATTTAAATTAAATTAAGAATAGACAATAGATATTATAAAACTATGCTCATACTAATTTATATTTTAATACTAAGGATAATTATGAAATAGATTATCATATTATTATGCATTCAAAAGTCGAAATACATTTTATTTTGTGTGTGTTGTAGTGTGCATTTGTCAGATAAATATTAGAATATTTGTCCTTAGGGACCCTACCGCGTGAACTTGAAATACTTCAACGTAATCTTCCAAGGGTTGTCAACTATATGTACTTCAAACTGATTCAATCCTTCATGATTATACTCTGCTGTGTATTCGTTTAGCTTATTTAGCCAATCGTGGCACAAAGCTAATTTAACTTTTATTAAAAATGTGTTTATGGCCAAAAGGATTCTCTTACGTTACTATTTCAAATTAATTTTTAATTATCTTTTCGCATCACATATCGCTCTATTTCATTCTTGCGCATCCTTGCAATATTACGTTCTTAATATGCTATGACAAAATCGACCACTCTACCATTGCATGTTACATTGCTACAAGCTACTTTGAAACCATCCTTCTATTTTTCTTAAAATATTAGACTATGTTCAATTTAATTATTAATTATTATATAATAAATATATTTTTACTTAAATTTAAATTGTATTACTATTGTTACTATAGTTTATAAAATGTAATAATGGCCTATAGTTTGACCGGAACTGCGTGCTTCTGTATTTTTTCCAAAAATATCATCCCCTTCTCGCCGTCTATATGTCCGTCACATTTACTTCATGTCTATATATACAACATAGATACTTACCGTGAGATCGTGCAGTTGACGGTTACTTCCGGTGTCAAAACACGCGGTGTGCGGCTGCAGCACCGCAGCGTCCAGTTGCGATGATGAGGATTGTCCGCAGCGTTGCATCGGACCCTCCTCTTGTTGCGGCTGCGGTTGTCGGGTGCGACCACCGTCCTGGTGACCGGGGTCGTTGCCGTCGCACCCAACACCGCCGCCAGTCACTGGTGAGTCGGCCGTCACTACAGCGATGCGTCCCTCCGTACCATCCGTGATCGCCGTCGTCGCGCAGGCGGTGTCGGTGACGGCATCCCGCTGAGGGTCCACCGTCGCACCGCTGACGGTGACATGACGGCGTTCGTTATCGATATGGTTATTAATCTCGTGCCGGTCGCCAATACCCTGAAACATGAAAACAACGAACGTATATAGTATTTTCGTGGTCGAGACGGCGGTGCAATCACGACTAGTGCAACAAACGGTGTTATTTAAAGGGTGGATTGAGGGAAGGATTCCGAAACAATAAACCGTGACATAGTGCTTATAATTATGTATAGGGTGGTTGGCTAAGTAAGCTCACTCCCATTTTTTCTTCAATAATGGATTTAATCAAATTTTGATTTTTGAAATTTTCAAGCAATACGTAAAGGAATCCATATATTTTCGATGTCTTCAGATTTTTTATACTACCTATTTGAAGAGTGTCTTGTGGATTATGCACAAATTTCTATTTTTAAAATGAGAACCTTATTTTTCTACTACAAATTATTTAGCCAAACCAGTATAGTATTTAAGATATTCAATTTTATGCACTAAGGGTTATGGGTCCATGATATAATGGATGTAGAAGTATAGGGGCTATGATGGTGATTTGAAATATTTTTTGCAATGAATATTAATCAATCAAAACTTATAAAACAATTGTAAAAAATAGGCCAAGTATAATAAATACTATAGACCTAACATTACATAATATCTATTCTATATTTTTGTAAAACCATTTTTAAGGATTATTATATTTTATACAATATTTGAAAACTAAAAGTAGTCATATCTGCATCTTAGTTATTTTGATTTATTATACCTAAGTCAAATATATCTATAGGGGAAATATAGTACATAATATAAAGTAACTTTTCCAAACACTAAGTAGTTAAACGTGTCGGGTATGTCGAAAAGTAATTTTCACGGCTCCGGGCTATACACAACATGTTACGCATGGTTGTATGTTTGACAGTATCATAGTTAAAAAGCGTTCAGGAAAAATAAAATAAAATTATAACAAAAATAATAAGTATTTTACTTGAAAATTATTTAAGCAAAACTAAACGAGGATTGCGTTTGGAGAGTTGAGATTGTACACATACTTTCATAGACGTGTGTACGGGGGTGGGGGGGGGGGCTTTTTCTTTAATAAATGCACAAATATCTATACTATACTATAAAAAAAAAGATAGCAAATATTTTTAAATTTTACATGAAAAAAGTGAAGCCAGTTTTAATCTCAATATATAGATATCTGTGAATTAATGTAATAATGTTATTAATTAATCAGTTATCATCGAACAAATGATTTATTATCACAGAATACTCTACTATTCACTTTGATATCAACTAGCAGTTTATTTTTTTTATCACAGTATAGCTATCAATGAGTATCAACTACTTATATATTTACGTTATTTCATGGTTGTAACTTGTAGATAATATTATATCTAACTAGTAAATAAAAACTTTTATAATGAGTAAAAAGAATAACTTGCATACACTATAAAAATTGATGATTTAATTGATACACACAAAAACCTTACACCCGTGGACAAAATGATGGAGTTGTAAATAGCTATGTAAATAAGGATTTCTTATATATAAATTGTGTAAAATATAATAATTTTTTAATAGGTATTCATTTTTACATAATTATCAATTGATAAAAATGGTTCCATTGAATTTTACATAATATAAGCCACATTTTTGTTAAGACAAGCCATATTATCAAGCATTTTTCGTTTACGAATAAACGCATTAGAAAAAATAAAATGCAAATACATCAAGTTCTGGGCCCTATTAATTATACTAGTAGTCATTAGTATGTATATAAGAATCTTTGATTCAGACCTTTTTTCAGCCTTTTTTAGGGCCCCCTCTGCGGATTAAGTCTATGCACGCCTATGCATATTAATATGTTATTAATTATTATGAATTATTTTAGACAAACAACATACAGAAATGTAATAAGTACTATTACTACTATTATTATTGTTATTATGTACCCTCTTGTTGGATGTTGACCGTAAAAAAAAAAAAAAACTATGTTTATATAAACATTTACATTTTTAAAAATATCCAGATTTCCGGTATAGGTACCTCTTATCCATTGCTATTCTACAGACTATTGATGTTCTCTATAATAAATCAAATTATTATTCATGCAGTGGTGACATTATTTGAATTTACAAATAAAAACGTGTACTTACGGCACATAATTTAAACATCGTATTCACCTATATATTTGCATATTATGCAGGCCCGAATTCCGTCAACAATCGGAAGCAGGTACAACATTCGAGTAACATCACCGACGGTTTTAAGTGAATGATTTAAGTGATTTTTGAAGATATGTACGTTGGAAAAAATGCCACTTCTGTACGCATACTTATGGTAGCAGTGCCATGATTTAAATAATACTTTATTTTCGTATGACACAATGTTGGCACACGTAAATTCAATTATTTTAACTGAGATCTTTATTTGTTTAGTTTGTTCTTTATATTTGTTTTTTGGTCCGTTTACATATTGGGGCTGAGGTAAGTGTATTATAGTTATTGTTCGAAATTTAAGTACGTGCCATAATAGAGCACTATCGACTTGATAATATAATTTTAAAGCTCGTAGAGAATGGAATCATTGATTTTCTATTTGTTCAGAAAACTCGTTTTGGGTAAAAAAAAAAAAAATGTTAAACAAAATTACACGGCACACATTTGTATTTTTATAAAATGTTTTGATTTCTATACATATACGGAATACATTGTTTATTAAATATCACAGATTATTATTCTAGGGAAATAAAAGAATAAAATCAAAATATAAAAAAATGAAAGCAGTGGACATTAAGTATGTATTTCTAACAAAATGTTGACAATATTTAATTAATTTAAAAGTTCAGAATTGTTTTAAAATGTAACAAGTTATTCATAAATTTAAAATTTAAAATTATCACAAGCATATACACTTACAGTTAAATACAGTTTATTTAATTTCTGTGTATCCTTTTTAATAAATTGGATGTTATATATATCTAGTGATGATGTAAAAGAATGTCGACGTTGAGTTATTTTTATTTAAAAAGTATGCTCGTCGATTATTTTGATTTTTGATGTACCAACATTTTTGATCACTTGTTAACAGCTGTATAGTGCGAAATTTAAGAGTATTTAAGACGATAATCGTTACAGATGGCAAAATATCCATTAAACTGTCATTTCCAGAAAAAACGCAACAATAAATATTTTATGTTGTCACACTGTTCGTGTTTTTGTTCCAACGTAAATTAAAATTTATTGTACATCGTAAGAACCTTGCAAACGTTTTGTACTGAGAAACTTTTAACAATAATTTTCAAAATAACTATAAAATCATTTCTCGTTTATTTCATAATGAAAACACTCGAAAATTAACAATATATTTATCCATATCCATGATGTTTATACATTTTAACAATCGTTAAAAGAATATTACATATTATATGCTTGTGTAATATACAGGATGATTTACCAAGAATGATCACCTATTTTTTTTTCAATATTGAAATTATTCAAAGTTTGATTTTTGGAATTTTTAATTATAATTTAAATTTAAAAAAAATATGTTCACTAAATAATTTATAGTAAAACTTCTCTGAGAAGCGAGATCTTCCTTTGTTTAAAAAATAAGTTTTTACCAGCATAAAATACTATTTGAAGTAGTACAGAAATCTCAAAAAATTTGAAATACTATTTGATCTATAGATAAAAGATATATTTAAAAATTTAAAAATCAGAATTTAAATTAATTCACTATAAAATAAAAAAATAGGGGTGAGTATGTTTTGTGAATGATTGAATATACTTGTCCCAAACTCTTGTAACGGATCTATCCTGACTTATTTACATTTCAGAGACGTCCAAGTTAACATATTCTAACGATTGCATATAAAAAGGGTAAACAAAGTGGTAAAACGCGATAACGATATAGTCAAATATTTTAATATTGATCGAGTTAATTCGCATTTTGCTGATCGCTGTAGCTATGCGGATATTATTATAATTTTGTTTCTGCTACAGTGTTGAATAGGTATCTAAGTGCCATCAATGTGATACCTAAATGTAGATACATATTATTGTATATATGGTATATATTATATGTTATTATGAAATTAGAATTACAACACGAACGAACGAACGAATAATAAAAACGAGCCGAATTTCTTATTTCTATAGGTAGCAATCATGAACGGTTCGAAATTAGGATTATAATATTATAAAGTCGATGATACAATACGCATGTAATCGTGAAATATATAACAAGCTGCCAATAATATAAGTGATGATGCGGAAAAAATACTGTTGTATATAGAAAAAAAAACTTTAAATATACGCTCCAGTTGTATATTTATATATCCATGTGAAATTATGTTCACAAGAGTTGCAACTCGAAAACTACTCTTTATAATATAATATTATATTATCGTTACGATAAAAATATGTTGTGTTATTTCGATCCAATACAAGTAGCACTGAATATTTTCTGCTTGTTCAACACACTAAGTTTAATAAAAGTCTCGTTCTATAGTATTGTGTTTCATATTATAATATTATAGTATTATGTGCGCAAAAAGGTTCGAAACAAATGTATATAGGTATAAACACCGACCGAACATAATTTTGATGAATATTATGATCGGCACGTGTTATTCCAGGTGAGTGGTACAACTTGAATAATTATTTATTTCCAAATGAAATTCGTATGCATAATTTCATATGAATGTATAATATGTACATAATGTATGCATGTATATACGATGTGGAATAAAGAGGTTACGTTTAATAAACCGTTTGTAGGTAAGAATGTGAACGATAAATCTAGATTTTTAATTAAAACTCCGCTTGCTAATCAAATATATACTGTGCCGAAGACGTGAATGATATATTTTATACATATAAAGAATGATTAATTTGTGTTATTCGCTTGACGACCAGGGTCTTGTATTATTATTTTATATTAAACTTTGTGAGACAGTGAATTTCGCACTATCAATCTAAAACACACAATGGTGCACGAGTAAAGGGAAAATCTCATTTTTTTTCCAACCGACACCGACAATTATCATCCACATTGTGACTAAGATTCGCAATCCCTGT